CTTGGCTAAAAAAAAAAAAAAAAAAAGAAGCCAATCGTCTTACTTGTTCAAATGAACGAGTAAAACGTATGGAGGAGGAAAAAAATAAAAGAGGGCTTTAAAAAAAATCAAGCGATGGAAGTTCATCTGTTCATTCACTATTCAAATGAATAGTAAACTTTTTAGATATTTTAGTGTTTAGTAGAATATCACACGGTTTGAGAAGTATTTCACATGGCCAAAATTCCTTTGGCATAGCCTACACATGTTTTAAAATGCATCCCATTTAAAGACAAAATGGCCATGCATGCATACTTATTATAAGGTTTATACATGTATCACTTTAAGGAAAAAGGGAGGGAGAACTTCCGCCATGCTTTTATATATATATATATATATATATATATATATATATATATATATCTCGTAAACCTTTCATTTTTAAATAAATGGATACACTATTATGTATGTACATTTTAATGCAAGTTTATCACTACATACGATTATGTACATATATTTTTAACAAAAAATGAAAATACGATGGTGAGCTTGGTCACGACTTGAAAGGAAAATTGCCACACCCGTGTTCCATGCAAAACCTTCTTTTCACGTACGTTTCTTCCTTATACATTTCTTTTCCTTACAACTTATTAAGCAAACCTAAACTAATACATATAGTCACCGACTGATCCATATAATTCAAGGCAAAAACATGGATTAAAATAGAACCTATGCTCTATAGTATTCCTAGACTCAATAACATATGCTTTGATACCAACACTTGTCACGACCTTAGGAGTGGGCCATGATCAATGCGAGAACCGAGAGAATTGTGAGGCCCATCTCGACCCAAGCAAGCCTCGAATACTAATCTAAATCTCAAATCATGATCGGACTTATACTATAGTCCTCAATTTTATACCACTCAAATTATTATTAAATATCAATATAATAATAACTTAATAAACATTTCTACACCATTAGTACATCTCATAAATTCTATACTATTCTCATTTCAATATCCAAGATCAATATTCATGTTCAAATCTTAATACATGACCCACGGCTATAATTGCAAAGCATCTAAGATTTCAATTTAGGATAAACATATGTTCTAAAGAAATTATAAGTAATGAGTCGTACGGTCAAGCTTCCGACTTCAAATCAAATAGCCAAGAGGAAACAATAAGGAATCCCTCAATATCCTACAACATTGAAATAATGAGGGGTGAGCAAACCACGACTTAGTGAGTAGATATTATATAATATACTAAAGAAGGGAAATGGACTATGGACGATATTCTTAAATCCATATCAAAATGCAATGCTTATTTCTCAAAAACATATGCATATCGAAAACACACTTCATATCACAAATCCAAATGGTTCACAACCATTTCATATCAATTCATCAATCATTTGTTCATACATACTTATACGAAAAACACATATATAGGTTTTATACACTCATAGGTTAATAACGTATCATTGGATGCGAACACACGAAAGTCACGTCCCCTGTGACTAGGTTTTCTCATGTTGGATGACATGTGGTCTAGCACTACATCTATCATACTAGATGGAGCCTCGTATTATTAAGCTTAAAGGCTATCCCCTCGGTAGCTAGGTTCCTCAAGGTCTTGAAAACATTTTTGAAAACCAAACGTATTTATTTATTTTCAAATCGATATTTCAAATATCATGCATGCTTTTTCATAAAATACACATATACTCAAAATATGAGCATAACATAATCATTCAAATCCGAAATCACATATTAATTTTAATAACATATTAAAATCTCTTTTTCATTCATATCAAGTCATTCGATACGAAAAAATAATTTAAATATTTAGTCACGCTTCTATCTAAGTTTTACTAGAATGCTTATAAATCATTCATGATGAATAATTTACGAAATTTAAAACATGGTATACAATATAATATCCACTCACGAGTATAATTTGAAGAACCAAATGGAATCAAGGTTATGATGGAGTCATCCACTTCAAAGAATCTAGCATCACAAACGATGTGGCATCCATCAATATCACATAATAAGGAATAATCCTAACAATAGATTATTCTAGAATTAAAATATAAGATTATCAAATAATAATGAAATTGATTGAAAAGACTCGATCCGATAATCTAACTAAATCCTATAATCCTTCAATTGATTCTAATCCATAGTTCACTAAATCTCATCATAACAAATTCTTAATTTAACCATGAATTTCCAATTCAAATAATCCATTATATTGTAATTCACCAAATACTCATTACATTAACCTTGAATATATAGCTTAATTCCTCATTTTTTCTAATTTTCAGATTTGTCATTATTTATCATCTTCAACCTCTCAATTACTCAAATTCCTTCAATTTTACTTCAAATTAAATTTTTTATTTTACTTGCCCAAGACAATTAAACACCTAGGATCACTTAATCAAACTTTCCCCCAAATGGGTCTCGAGAACCCTAACCTCAATCTAAGTAATTTCTCAAGCAAATGATTAACCCAAAGCAATCTCAATTCAATAACATTATTAATTACTTACAAACATCATAATTCAAAGTTCAATGGATCAAATCCTTACTTTTTTGCTAAGCTCCTCAAATCCTAATTTCTTCCTAGCTTTCCAAGCTCCAATCTAGCTATAATTCACTTAAACCAACTAATTTACGTTTTCCTTAAGCTAATTTAACATGAATTAGATTAGGAATTAGGGTGAAGTTGAGGAGGGCTTTTGGGAGAGAAAATGTGAGAGAGAGAGGGAGGGGAGAAAGAAGGAGAAGTGTTAGAAATAGGAGCGAGTTACCAACTCCTTTTTTTTTTTTTTAAGGTTATTATAGTTTGATTGCTATTTTCGTTGCAACACCCATAGATCTCTCTCTCATGTTTGAAGTTCCACTTGGTGTCTATTCATTAGTTTTTATGTTTGTAAGGTTTCTATGTTTTCAACGTCATTGTCGTTTGTAAAAGTTTTTAATTCAATATTTATTAATTCTAGTTTTTGTTTAATCTTGCAACTCGCAACTTACGTATTTATTGTTAATTGAAGTTAATTTATGTTTTAAATGGAGGTATTGTTGTCAATATTACTTTTCCTGCTTCATATATTTGCATTCCAATTTTGCAACCTAAACCTTTTAGGGAGTTTGAGACTTTTTCCAAAAGATTTTTTGGTATTGCCATAAACAAAGTGGTAGTCTAATTGGTGATTACCATATATATATATATATATATATATATATATAAATAAAGAGAAAGAGAGAGAGAGATTTGAATCTTAAAACTTTTTTTTATAAATATATGAAATTTTTTATTTCATGTTATGATTGAACTGGTCAGATGATGCTCTTCATAAAGAAATTCTTCAGAAATATAGGATTCTTTGTTAGCAAGGGGCAATGAACCCATTCGATTTGGACATAGTTTATGCAAGATGTTTTGATTGTGGTTGCATTTCATACGATTTTCGGACACAAAAAATTGGAAGGAGTGCGTTATAATTCTGCATTCATTGCTGCTGAAGCTTTTATTCATTTTTGTGATATTTCAATTGGGTAGATATTAATGTAAAAGGATGCAAATTGAATGGATATAAAATTTAAACGTGTCTTTTAAAATGGATATTGAATATTTATAAACATATGAGCATGGTAGTTCCTCATTGAATTTAGATACGATAATCACTTGGTAACTAGATGTTCCTCAATTTTAATTACAATATACGTTGTTACATTCACCGGTACTTTACAAATTAATCACCATGCTTGTAATAATTATTTTTAAAGCAATACAAATAACTTGCTAAACATTATAATCTTAGTAATGATATCAAATCATCAAGATTCAAATCTTGAGTTAATTTATGAAAAATATGTTTTTTTTTTTAATGAATAATTTCATCTTTAACGTGAATTATTGATTTTTAACAAAATTTAAGAGATGAAATTAAATTTACAAAAACTAATAACAAAAACCTCTCATTTAGAGAAAAACACTATGATTTTCTATTTCAAAACTGGATTGAACTAAATAATACGAGTCATAAGGCATTGATCCTCTAGCACAATATAATCGTTTATCAACATGCCATACCTATTTATGATACTCCAAACCAAACATAATTTTTCAACTAAAGCACCGTACTTAGAGATAATAAAATATGATAAAGAAATTGTATAAACAAAGGGCATATAATTTTAATATAATATCACATTATTCTCTAATTTGCTGACCATCAATATTCAAATCTTGAGTTAATTCATAAAAAAATATATATTTACGAATCCTTTAATTTTTAATATGAATGGTGGACTTTAATCAAGTTTACGAGATTGATTTAATAGGGATATGCAAAAGCTTTTATTAACATGCCCATACCTATTTATAAAATTATAATACTTTAAACATAACTCCTTAACAAAAGGATATAACTAAAATCTTCGATACTGAGAATATATGATTTTTGGAGATGCCATTTGATTGAACGATTCCAACTGGAAAAGAACAACAAAGACTAACCAATAACCTCCAAAATTTCCCCAACACACAAACACATAATGTACGGTTACCGTTACGATCCAAATCATACAGTACCCACAATTACAAAACAAAAGAATATATCTTTTACCTAGATAAAACAAACGCTCAAAAAATCCCCCGCCACCACCACCACCCACCCACCAAACTGCCATAAATTTTATCCGTGCGAACCGTACCATTTAACAGTTGCTAGCTGGCTTGGATCTCTAATTACACCCTCATTCTCTCTGACAATGACACTTGGATTCTTCTTTCATTATTTTAATCAGAAACAAAAACCAGAATCAAATTCTCTCTCTAGCTTGGTGGGCTCCCACCACAGAAAAAAGAAAAAAAAAGAAAGTCAAAAAACCAAAAATACAAATATCATCGTCCCTGTCTCTTCTTTTCTCTCCCTCTCTCCCCAATCCCCATTCTCTTCTTCTCTCCTTCCCTTACCTTTCCTTTTCTTTCTTCCGCCGGCAGACCCACCAGCAACAACCTTCTCCCTCAGCCACCGTCCCCTTTTCTCTCTCCGTCTTGCTTCTGATTTACCACTGCAGCAAACGCAGGTCTCCTCTATCTCCCTCTCCTTTCTCTTTTCCGGCGGCGGTCACAGCCCACGATCACCTTCGACGGTGATTCTTGCCGCAGGCATCACCAGCGTTGTCACCATCCTTCTATGTCATCAGCCTTCGTCCACGTCCTATCTCTATAACTCCTCGTGTTTTCTCTCGCCAGCGACTTCCGCCACAACAACGCTTGAAAAAAGCAGCCATCGTCACCGCCGGCTGCCATAACACCAGATAACAACAGAAACCATTAGCAGTAATGGAAGTCTTCCACGCCGCCTACCCTTCTTTGTATTCGATCTCTCTCTAGGTACCGGCGGGTTACACCGCCAGCTGAATTAAGAAAAAGACAACGTTCCTCTCCAGCTTCAGTCAACACGCGCCTACAAACATTATCACCGCGCCGGACCACGCGCCGACGGGTGGCTGACACCGGCTGTCGTCGCTGCCGGGTCAGAATCTTCAGCAGGTATCTCCTTATTCTTCAGTTTCTGCGGCGGATTGTTTTTTGATGCGATGTGAGGGGTCCGAGACCCCGTTGAGATGTTGGTGGGCCCCTGAAAAGAGGCTGGGACGAAGGAAACTTAGGAATGGTAGATCAGGTCCCCTGAAAAGGGTACTGATTTAGTTTTTTTTTTTTTTTTTTTTTTTGTATATATGTTTTTATGTTGATTGATGATGTTTCCAGGTTCCGGAGGCATTCTGTTGAGTGTCTCGGGTCTGTTTATCACCCCCTTTTTTGGCTGCTGTTTGGGATGAACATTTGCCCTTTGCCCTTTGATTATGCTGCATGTATGTGTTTCAATGTGTTCGACTTTGTTCTTATTGCTTCTAGTTCAGGTTTCGGGTGTTTGAGGTCGTGTGCTTAGGTGTTTTCGGTTATTGTGATAATAGATGTAATAGTTTCTGCTCGTGTCAATCTGCATCTCTTTTTGAGCTGCTTGCTCTTCTTTGCTTTAAAATGCTTATAGAATCCCATTGAACCTTGATAGTATCACATTCAAAATGTCCACATGCCAATAATTTGCATAATTGGGGAATCCAACAGGTTGATGAATCTATAATCCAAAGCCATTGAATTTATGATTTTGGTAAGTTCTGCTTCTAGAAAACTAAGAAAAACAAAACGGTTCTTAGTCAATAAAATGAATGCATCTTTATTTTAACACACAAGAGATACTGTACATTTGACTGAATTTACCAGGACTCTCAAAGGCATTTTTTCTTTTAAAATGGAAAGCATTTAGAGCATACCAAACACATGCCTAATTAACTCGCACCATCTTGTTTGTTATTTTACATTGAAAAGACAAAAGCATACCATGTATAAAGACAACCAGTTCAAAGCAATGAACATAAGCATAACACTTCAGAACATGTTCAAAACTTTAATTTATTTTATCCATTTATGAAAACAAAAGGGCATGACAGAGGAAAGTCAAAAGTTATTACTGGATTAATCTCATTGCAATGAAATGCTATAATTATGCAAAGGGATGCAACATTTAATGATATATGAAGTTACTTGTTTATACTTGTGATTGCTTATATAACAGGTTTTAAAAATAATAATAATAATAATAATTTCTAAGAATTGAGAGTTGGTGGTAGAAAAATGACAAGAAAAAGTTTAAGAGTCACTCAACTGTATATTTCATGCTTTATTCATTGAAAGTAAAATTAAAATCAAACAAAGCCTGACAAAAATGCTATAAATTATTGTTTTTGGCATAATCAAGTTTTAATGGAGGATATAATCATATGAATGTTACTTTATTTTTCAACAATACTTGAGTGTACTTTGTTTTTTGCTATGAATATTTTTTATATATATATAATTATATTTTCTTATTGAGGTTTGTGGGATTTTTCAGGCCATTTGACTTTGAAGCCAAAACAAGAAAGGAACAAAGAGGTTCAGTTGAAGAGGCATAAAAAGGTTTCCTTTTGGTAGTGGATTGTCAAGGTTTTGATGGTTAAAGAGGGTCTTTTGGTTTCTTGGTTTCAATGGTTATGATGGATTTGATGGGTTTTGGTTTTGATACAGATAAGATTGAAGTCTGCATATAAAATAGTATCTTTCTTGTTTTAGCTTAATGGGTTTTGAATGATTTCTTGATTTGAGAGGTTTCAGCGGTTGAATTGGTGGGATAGAGAAGAGGAAAAGCAAAACCAAATGGAGGAAGAGGCTAACTCTTGGATAAGGAGGGCTAAGTTCTCTCACACAATTTGCCACCGTTTGGATTCTTCAAGTTTGGCCTCTTTTCCTATCAATATTCGGGCAGAGAGAATTTCGGGCTTGAGATCCAGGCCTATAACAAGAACTGCTTCTCCCAAGCAGAAATCACAGCAATCCTTTTTTTATCAAAGCTCCCAACACTCCTTTCCCAGTCAGAAATCACTTTCCTTTCCCAGTCAAAAATCATCAGCGTCTAATAATTCTCAGATTCAGAGAAATCCACTCACCAATAAGCAAAGATCTTTATCTCCTCTCCCTGAAACAATCCTTTCTGATACTTTTAAAGAAGCAAGGTCTGATAAGAAGAGATTCTCAACACCACTTCCTCGTAGAAATGATCAAGACATAGGAATTATTGGAAAGTTTTTGCATAAAGAGTCAAAAGAAACCAGGGAGAAGTCCAATACAAGCCCACTTAGGCACTTGGCCTCAATGAAGGGTGGTCATGAAAAGTCTAGGAGCAAGAAGGAGTATGCTTGGACAAAATATTTTGATCATGGTGGAGGTAAGGTTAATGCTGTGGTAGCATCTGATGAATGCAGCGTTGATATGTCTAAGCTGTTTCTTGGGCTTAGATTTGCTCATGGGGCACACAGTAGGCTTTACCATGGTGTGTATAAGGATGAACCGGTTGCAGTTAAAATTATCAGGGTACCAGATGATGACGAAAATGGAAACTTAGCAACTCGATTAGAGAATCAATTCAACAGAGAAGTCACGCTTCTATCTCAGCTTCACCATCCGAATGTTATTAAGGTGATTCTTATTAGTTTATTCATATTACTCAATTGTGCTGCTTAGAGAGATTATGCAATGTGGAACCTTTTTTTTAATAGTTGATGAATTTTAGCTGTTACTCTGTGAACAATTGATATGAAATTTTAACCATCACTGAAATTATCGTTATTGGAATGAGTACTGATTGCTAACTTGTTTAATCCTTTCTAAGTTACGTATTTTGATTTGGCAATGCAGTTTGTAGCAGCATGCAGTAAGCCTACAGTTTATTGTGTTATAACAGAATATTTATCCGAGGGTTCCTTGAGGGCATACTTGCACAAGCTTGAGCATAAAATTCTCTCCTTAGAGAAATTAATGACGATTGCTCTGGACATTGCTCGTGGAATGGAATACATTCACTCTCAAGGTGTCATTCATCGGGACCTTAAACCAGAGAATGTCCTTATTGATCAAGAGTTCCACTTAAAGATTGCTGATTTTGGTATAGCTTGTGGAGAGGCATATTGTGATTCATTGGCTGATGACCCTGGCACTTATAGATGGATGGCACCTGAGATGATCAAAAAGAAATCCTATGGGCGAAAAGTTGATGTTTACAGCTTTGGACTCATCTTATGGGAAATGGTGGCAGGGACAATTCCCTACGAGGATATGACTCCCATCCAAGCTGCTTTTGCAGTAGTGAATAAGGTATGCAATTTCTAGTACTGTATTTTTAGTCAGTATCTTTGTTTGAATTCATAATTTAATCTCATACACTTTGTCCTATTCTGTTCCCTTTCTCCATATCTTTATTCATCTGCATATAAGCTTCAGTTTCATTGATTGCATTATGAACTCCTTTTTAATTCGCGTACCCATTTATGTCTTCCTCTGTCCAACTTTTTTGCATCTGTCTTGTGGTTTGGGTGGGGATGTTGGACCACAGTTGTTTTCATTCTCTTTGTACGAGGAATGCGAAATCTAGCAACATATTTATCATCCTTGGTTTCTGCATAAATACTAAACTAATGGTATTTTGAAATTGTTTGGATGCGGCTTACGCTCTGAGTAAGAATTGCTGTTGATTGCTTCTTTTTGGTTTGGTTTAGTTGTTTTATTTTTATTTTTTTTCCCTTCATGTAACTTAGTTCTTTATGTTTATGAAAGTCAACAATGTGTTTTCCATATTCCGAGGTTTTAACATTCCAAAATCTAATGTCTCTCTAGAATTCAAGACCTGTTATCCCGAGGGACTGTCCTCCTGCCATGGGAGCTCTAATTGAACAATGCTGGTCATTGCAACCAGATAAGAGGCCAGAGTTTTGGCAGATTGTTAAAGTATTGGAGCATTTCGAATCTTCTCTTGCCCGTGACGGAACCTTGAAGCTGGTACAGAACCCAACTTGCCAAGATCATAAGAAAGGAATGCTCCATTGGATTCAAAAGCTTGGTACCGTGAATCCTAGTAGCACCCCAATGCCTAAACCTAAATTCACATGAATCTTTTTATGGCTTGGCTTTTGTAGTGTACCAGGTCATTTGTAATTAAAAAGGTCTGTTTTTAAGCTTCTTTATTTGTACTTTTCTGTGTCACATTCATGTGAGTGTGAATTTAATAGATTGGTAGGCGTACATTGAGGTGAAATGTCTTCTTTTTACAAATATACATACAAAAGAAATCATCGTAATTTGGGGTCTACTAAACATTTTATGCATTGGGAGAAAAAACAATAGCTGTTTTTAGAAGGCTATGAACTTGGAGTGGCTCTCCCTTGTTTAAATTTCTCCTGAATGCTAAACTATCTATCGACTTTCTTCTTTTCATTTCTCTTAAATCCATCTTTTGTTGTTTTGCGTGTTACCCTTACTTCTGTCTGTAGTATTTTTATTATGTATTCTAACTCAAGTTTGGCCATCAAGAACGAGTTAAATGGTGTTGCCAGTCACCTCTGTATCGCAGGAAACTGTGTGTTTGGTTTTCAGCCTTATAGTCCCAGTTGGTTCTCTCCATTGCTTAGGTTTCTCCAGGTTAGAAGCGACACCCATGTATTTTTCTTAGCAAAAATGGTTGAATGTATTACCTGGTACGTTTTTTCTTATTTAATTCTTGTCCACATTAAAATATGTCACTCTAGGCCGTTGTGTCGTGAAAGCCCGCATTATTCTTCTCCATATTATTACCTTATTGGTGATTTTGTGGTGACCGTGACTTGTATGTTCACCTTTGACCTAAAATATGGTCATCGGTTCATAGTTTTTCAAATCACTCAACATTATCTCGCTCAATATTGATGTTTCTTACTTTCGTTTGCTAACATCAATTTTATCTTTTTACAATAAAGAACATCTAACTTTCTTGTTAATACTTCCTCATGCATCAATTATAATAGTAATGGTTGTGTGCAGTGTAAACATCTGTTTCTTTATATGCGTGGGCTGGCAAAATAGATTTCTTGGGTTCTCTTTCTTCCATTACAAATCTCTCTCTTTGCTAGTGGATATTTGCTCCTTTGCTTGCATGGACAGCCATGTGTGTACCACACACATCTCTCTCTCTCTCTCTCTCTCTATATCTCTTATCTCGTTGTTTGTACCAAATTATAGGTGCGAGACAAGAAATCCAAAAACAGGAAAGAAAGGCTTTGCATGCTCACTTTAATTCATAATGTGTGTTAAGGGTGCAAGTGTGCATCATGCAATCTTTTTAATAAATAACATTGCCATTAATCATCTAGGATGAAACTGATCTCTCTGCCTAGACGGCGGGGACCTGTTCAACAATAGTGCAGTGGAAAAAAGGGGAAAAAAACTTTGGCACAACAACAATAACAGGAATGAATTTTTTGGCTTCTAACTTGTAAAATACACTTGTGGATTTCAATTTTCACATGACAAAACTCACGAGAATCGGAATCCCAACCCGTTGCTTTTCTTTATTTGCTTGGGTCACTTTCAGGTTTAGGTTAGCATGCAATGGATATGGTTATCCATTAGATCAGCATAATCATCATTTGACTGTCAGAAAAAACAGAAAACCAATACTATAATCTTTTGTATTGGTTGGAGCCCTAAACTTGTGCAGATACAATGAAACTAGTTACGGTGTCATTGGGGTCCAAATTTAAGGGTTCAAATTGGATTGTAATGTCAAGTCGATGTCATTGTGGTCCCACTTAACCTTTTCTTCTTGTTAAATTACGTACTGTTCTCAAAAACCTGATGGGAAGTAAATTATAAATTAGTTGTTTTTGTTTTGAGGGAAAAAAAAAAAAACTAATAGGTTAATCTTTTATTGTTAATTTCTCGTCAGATCTGTCAAATTGATACATAATACTTAAAATATTTTCTAAGATATATACTCAATTTTTGCTACTGAGACAGCCATTGAAGCATGATTTGAGATTAAAGTTGGGAGTTTTTATTGTTAATATGAAAATGAGAAGACAACGATGGTTTTCTTCTCGTGGGTCTAATAACTTCCGAGGAAGTATGGAAGGGAGCGTATTTGAGAGAAAGAAGGTTGGTACTGAAGGGAGTTATAGGATTGTTGAAGCCATCATTTCTTTTTTATTAAAACGGTAGAAGGAAAGGGAAAAAAGATAGTTTTGAAGTTTATGGTGTCTTTTTTTCTTTACTAGGTTTGGAGTTTCTCAAATTTTCTTCAGAGGAAGGAGACGGGTTAGGCTGGTTTTTGCTTAAGGATTCAATTTTGGAGTTTCTCAAAAAGTCCATAGCGTTTAATTGTTTTTCTTATTTGGATTAGAAAAACTTTACAGGGTAGATTTTGTTTGTCTGGAAGGAAAGTGATGTGTAAAATAGAGTTTTTAGGAAAAAAAAACTTGATAGTAGATTTGAACTTTATTACAATCATGGAGATAATTGAAAAACTGAGAGAGAGAATGGATGAAAGAGAAGAATAAGTCATAAAAAAAAAAAGTATTTTGCAGTAAAGACACCTCTTTACTGCTCTAACATAATTAATAACAATTTGTTTGTCAGCATGAAAACGAACCTTTTTTTTTTCACAAAAATTTTGGGCTGCAAATCCTCTAACCCAATACATTATTGTAGCCATGCTGTTAGATAAGAATAATGCTAAATAATATGTATAAAATAAGGGGAAAAAAAGCTCTAAAAATATACGTAAAATTAGATGAGTGATGTCAACAATTAGATCCATCAATTATTTGGTTAAAAATATGGATTTATATGATTAGTTCTATGATGGGGGACGTTGGCAGCAGCCCCCAAAGGTTTTTAGAAGACGTAAAAATAATTCCAATGCTTAAGTATTGATTTGGCACGTGGGTAATGATAGAAAACTTAGTTGGGAAATTGAGTAATTGATTAGGGCATTATAGTAATTTCAAATCTATTGAAAAATCTGAAATTATAGTATTTTTGTTCAAATGTTTTATTAATCCTAAAGTTAGTTTTCCTATTCTAAAATAGGAATAATTATAGGCTTTTCTAGTCTAATTAGAAATAATTATGTTGGAGGTTTAGAAATCTTTATCCTAATTGGATTTGAACTTCAACAACTCTATAAATTCAATATGTAGTCTTTCAATATTCAGTATACAATAATATCAAATAATTTCAAGCAATTTGCTTTTGATTATATGACTTAATCTCCTTTATGTATGACTCCTAAGAACTCTAACTGTGAAGCTTAAGTTTTTCTATCTTGTAGGTGTAACTCTTAGAATTCTATTTATATACTTTATCATATTCCAAATAGAAATCTAATTCAATACAACCCTAAACACCCTTAAACAACCTTCAAAATTAGACCCAAAAAAGTCCCCATGCTGTCCTGCATCATTCCTTGGTGAAAAAGAAAAAATAAAGAAAGAAAGAGACATGTATTTAATAAATTTAATTCTTTAACATTTATTAACATTTTGAAATGTCTTTTTGTTTTTTTGCTTTTTGTTTTGGGTCCGTAGGACTGTACTTGTGAAAAGTAATTTTCTGTTTCGAATTAATCTTCAGTTTTCTTATTTACTGTAAAAACATAAAAATGCAATCATATAAAATAATACTATACAATATCCTAAGAACCCTCTTTAGCTTTTGCATTTTTGAGTAGTAAAATGATGTGGTATTGATCCATTATCCCCTTTATAATATATATATATATATATTTTTGGGCACTAAAATTGCTTACTTGCATACATATAGTTGAGATATGTTGTGGTATTAATATTGGTCCCATTCCAAAATCCTCTTCATCTACCCTCCCCACTTGTGAATTCATAGAATCCTTCATTTTCTTCTCTACCCCATCTTCAGGGCTTACAATATATTGGGCCTATAAGAAAGTATTTGTAGGCCATCAATCCTGGACAAGTTGATAGGGATCAGCTGCTCTCAAATTGCGTTCTCTTCTTTTCTTTTTTTTCCTGGTGCCTTTCTTTCTTCATATAATTACACATTTGGCTGACATGGATTGATGGCCATGAGTTTCCATATCACCTAATGAAAGAGATTTAATCTTAATTGATCTGCAAGCTGTTGGTTTCTAAGATATATCCATGGAATAAAAAATATTTAGTTGTTTACAAGAGCGCATGCAATTACATATACATATACATGAACAAGCAATATTAATATCAATCAAACAATACGTATAGCAGTAATCTGATTAGTTGTTGTTCACAGAAACCATCCATTAATTCAGATATGCACAGAGATTTTTATTCAAAAAGGGAAAACATATATATATATATATATATATAGTATTTCTTTGAACCATTGTTGCAACAGATGCTGCCATACTCTTTTTAAGAACTAATCATCTGCGCTCTAGTCTGTCACTGATATGTGATGCAATAATTTTTGTCCATTGCAAGGCTTTATAGAACATGCCCTTCTTTTGGAAATGTGCAGTAAAAACGGCAGAGAGTTCAAACGTGATTGCCGTTCAATATGACAAGTTTCATAGCAGTTCACAGTTATTACAGTACTATTCATAATCCTCAACATATATATATATAGTTAGTGGTTTCTACAGCACTTGTTAGCCCGATCCTGATGACAAGTTTCTAATTGCTAAATCTACAAATCCATCCTTCCATCACCCTCTTTCAAGGTTACACAATACGGATTGTTATAGCAAAATCCATCTCTCTCTTCTTCTATTTAGGTAATCTACTCTATATATCATCTTATACATTTCTGCTTTCTGTCGGCAAAGTCTGATCATTTCTTGAAAGTGGAATCGAGTAAGCATCCTAGAGGGATTTACTCTTTTAATTAAAGTATTGGAGGTATGATCAACTAATTACCACTTAAAGGAAGTTGCTAATTTCAGACGTACAAATCAAGTATGCATCAAATATTCTTTCTTTTTTTTTAACATTCTCTAGTTTTTTGAATTCTTTGTGATAATCATAATATTGTAATTTCTGAAGTGGATTATAATTTAGACATACATTTTATGTTCAAACGAGAGAGGGGGAGAGAGAGAGATCAGAGGTTTCAATATGGATAATGAA